AGGTGGGTCATGAAGCAATAAATAACGGATGGACATTTTCCGTTGGTATCTATAGAATATGAAAAAACTGGAAGGCCTCCAGCATGTGAAGGATTTATAAGAAGACATGGACAAGCAACCTATAAAATGTGAATGTGTGGCTGGGTTGGGATCTGCACTACTTGAAGGAATATCAACTTTATTGCCATTGCAGGTTCATTTAAATATCAAAGACATATTACCTTGTAAGATGAAAAAATATGCTATAAAACAAGAACTTTAAGACCAATAAAGGCAATAAATCACTAACAAATAAAGTTGATAAATCACTAATAAATTCAATACAAAAGAAGTGAGAGACAACACAAATCACAAAAACTGGAAATTAGAAAAGAGAGATCACAAAAAAGGACAAAAGAAATTAAGAAAATCATTGGGAAATATTGCACACACTTATGTGCTAATAAATTCGAGAACTTGGGTTAAATTAATGACTATTTGCAAAGATGTAAATTAACTGGTGAAACAAGAAATAAATAAAGTATGTGGGTTGATTCTAAAGGGAGAAATAAGATAATTCACCAATGAATTTCCCTCCAGTTCAATGGAAACTCAACACAAGCTCAGCATGCATTCAGACATGTGCATATACACAGATAAACAGAGTATAAAGAGATGTGAAGTTGAATTTTCCCAAACCTTTCCAGGAATAAAATAGTTCCTATACTCTATACATAGTTTCTTATAAGGAAAGACCAAATGCTACCCAAATTTTTATAAGACCAGTAGAGTTAGGAACTGCTTTGTAATCCTGGGAAAGTCACTTAAGATCTTAACTCTTAGTTTCTTCATGTGTAAAATGAAGAGATTAGACTATATAGCCTTTAAAGTCCCTTCAAATTCTAAATATATGATCCTTTGAATGAAGTTGTGAACTTTCCTGACATGTACATTGAAATACAAGTTGATAAAGTAATGGTATTGAATTTCATAATGCAACCTGGCTCCTACAGTCCCAGATTTATTATACATCATTCTTATTCACATACTCTATAGTCCAAGCAAACTGTCCTTCTTGACACTTCTCACACACAAAACTTTCTCCCACATCCATGCCAGAATTTGTCCAGATATTCTCTAAATTGATGGGTATCCATTTTGCTACCATAAAAAGTATTGTTATGAATATATTATAGTATATACGTAGCCTTTCCTTATGTCTGTCTTTGACTTCTTTGGTATGTATGCCTAGTGGTGAGACTACTTGATCAAAAGGTATGAATAATTTAGTGCCTTTTATATAATTCCAAATTATTTTCCAGAATATTTGAATCAAGTCACAGCTCAATCAATATTGTATTAGCACACCCATTTTCCTATAGCTACTCCATCATTGACTATTCCTGGCTTTTATAATCTTTGCAAGCTTGATAGGTGATGATAGTTATTGAATTTGTATTTTTCTTATTAATAATTTGAAGCAATCTTCCATGGGGTTTATTCATAGTTTGTAATCCCTTTGAAAAAACGGAGTTTTCTCCCATTTACTTTTATTCATTGCTCTATTGAGGAATAGCTTTTGGTCATATATTTGTGTCAATTCTTTAGCTAACAGACTTGTGTATCTTGGATTGTTGATGCAAAGATTTTCCCCATTTATTGGTTTCTCTTTTGACTTTAAACATACGTGTTAGTGCCAATTAAGTGATGACTGTATTTCATGTTTAGTTGTAGAACCCTGACTGTAGTTATATATATATACAAACACATACATGTGTGTGCATATATCAAATGCATTTATGTATACATACACATATGTATGTGCATACATAGTGTGTATACATATACATGTATATATCTATATAGGGAGAGTGTTCTGGATCATTTGTCTGGTACTTTAGGTTCCATAATGAGGCACAATGAGACATTTGATGGGTCATTCAACAATTACCAAAAGGAGTTTTGCTACCTATAACAAATGATACTCAAATACATTCATCAAGGACAAAGCTCCCAGCCTCTAAATTACACATAATGCTATACCAGGTAACCTTTAGAGTGAAGCTGAAGTACCTTTAGATTATTTTGTATTCATGATGAAGAAATCATATCAATAGGCAACCTGAGCCTTTAGTTCCCTGAGCTAATCAAATTTCAAGGGCAGTTTCAATACCTTTTAAGGAAAAGCCCAGCCTAATGTGCATGAAGGCAGGGGATCAGGATATTATTCCCACCCCATGAGGACATGCACTAGGACTTTTAAATCTACAAACGCCAACTTTCCTTTTAGTGAATAAATTGATGTGGTTTCATAGAAATATATCAAGAGAAAGGTACAAATCCTTACAGCAAAAACCCTATTGTCTTTTCTCTGAAATAACCTGCTGTCCTCCTTGGAAGTGGTCATGTTACTGAGAGGTTAAATAAACTATATAAAGTAGTTTCTTCTGATTGATTTTGTGTACCCAAGCAACTACCTAGATACTGTAGAAACCCAAATGAAAACATAGCTCTGAGGAGCGTGTTATCTCATCTCCAGTCCTCCTGAGACCTCTACTGGTTAAAAAGAATATCTTACATCCTTCAATAAACCTTGTTGGACTACAAAAATTCTGAATATATGATCTGTTTCTTTTCTCCTTCACTATGGTGGCTAATCTGGCACAAAATTATTCACTTGGGGGCATTTGCCCCTAAAAAGTGTGAAGTAACATATATAGGATAGTATAATGAAGTTTCAATTATTTCCTATAGAGACTCCCAAAATAAACCTAATTCAATTGTCGTTGCTTTGATTCTTATAGCACATGCTCTGGAGTAACTATTCCAACTCCCTGTTGCACAGCTTAGGTAGGTCTCTAGAACATGGCTACTGTGTCACCTCAGGGCTCTAAGACCCTCTCAGTAGGGGTCGGTGTTGTCTTTTTAATTACAGAATTCATGAGGTCCCACAGATGTTCTTCCTTTATGATTATTGGTTGATATCAATTAGTCAGCCAGACTTAATTAGTTTTTCAAAAAACTAATGTACTAAGATGGTAATGTAGAAATAGATCTTACAAAACATCTGCCCTCCCACTCCCAACCAAGTCTGTTAGAGTCTCCCACTAGCACATAGAGAGATAAGTAGATCCTCACTGTTATCCTTGTTGTATCAAGTCTGTTAAAGCTGCTTTTGATTTTGCTTGCCCCAAAAGAGATCTTCTTTTTCAGTAAATGTTCTACCAAAGAAAATTGAGGGAAAGAAAAAAAGTCTTAGTAAAGCCTAAAGGCTGGAAAGCCCACAGCCTAGGCCCTTAATAAATTTTTAATAAAAGGATTTGTTCTTATAAAACCTGGACTCAGTCAAATGGCTGTACCCAAGGACCTATAAGGCCACATGTGGTTTTGAGGCCATAGGTTCCCCACCCCTGGTTTAGAAGCACAACATATTGAATCTAATGAAACAAAACAAGTTTTGATGAAATACAATCTTTCCTATTCAATAGTTTATCGTTTAAGAAAAGGTTTTTTTCTTGTGGCAGCTATAGATATTCCTTGATTCACCAGTACCAGTAAAAATAGTACTAAAACAAGCTAGGATGTACTGCATGTACGCCATTCTTCCTCCTAATCCTAGTCTTAAACATTATGTTGTTCCTCATTTCACTGCAAATGAAACATTGAATTCAATGTCTTTCACTTCATTCTGTCTTGAATTATTCTTTAAAAGAATGTGTTTTTCCTTAAAACTGTCTGTTTGCTTTGGGGTTTTTTTGTGTCTGTGTGTGTAAAGAACTTGGAATACTTATGTTTGGATTGTGTGGCATTCTCTGTAATGACCACAGTCAAAAGAAGAGAGCTAAAAAATCCTGAGTAGGAAGTGCTGAACCACGGGGATTAGAGCAAAAGTCCCTTAGTGAAAGAACATTCCAAGGCAATGAAGACATTACTTCATTTCAGTACATTATATAGGGATCTTCTTGAAAGCTTTCCAACACTGCTTTGAAAACCTGCCTTTTCACATCTACTGTCAGACTTTATAGGCCAAAGTAAGTGAATCCTGTAAAGGTAGGCAAAAGCTTTACAAGCAGAGAGTGTTTCCTTGCAAGTGAACACAATTGCAAAGAAAGCTAAAACATCTGCTGTCATTCAGGGAACTTATCTTTTTTCTCTTTGGTCATTTGCTATTTTATTTATTTAATTTTTCTACCCTCCTCTTTTTAACCAAATTGCCTCAAGGTTTAGTAATGTAATTAGTCTTCTCAAAGAACCAGCTTTCTACAGCAGTTTTTTTGTTTCCACTTTTTAATATCTTTTAATTTTTTTGGCTATTTTACTTTTGTTTATTTGTTGGCTTCCTAACTTTAAAAAATACATTCAGTTAATTAATACTGTCTTTTGAAAAAATTTCTCATTTTACTTCTAATTTCTAATTTGTGTTTGTAGGGGTGTGATTTTTCTCCTGAACACTGTTAGCCACGTCCCAGAAATTCTGATATGTTGTTTCATCATTATCACTTGATTTTATATAATCATTGTTTCTACGATTTGTCCTTTGGCTCACCCATAATTTAGGATTTTGTGTTAAATCTCTATTTGAGTCTCTGTCTTTTGTTTGTGATTCCTAGACTGATTACTATTTCTAATGGGTTATGGTCTGTAAAATATATATTTACTATTTCTTCCTTTTGGTTTCAATATCTCTGTAGCCTAATAGCTATTAACTTTTATTAAAAATTAATAACAAACACCTGTAAACCAGTGTTCTTTTGGTTTATAGTATCATAGTCTTTGAGATGGAAAGTACTTCATCAACTACAGTTTATGTATTCAAGACCCATAAAATGACAAATTTTTGATCACGGGCAATGTGCAAATTTGTTTTGCTTGACTATTCACATTTTTAGAAAGTTTAGTTTTTCTTTTCTTCCACTCTCTACCTTGCCCCAATTGGGAGAATTAGGATGACGAGAAAAAAATTGCTTATTAATTGAAAAATTAAATGGAGGCCTTTACAAAAGCAAGGACTTCAGGGGTAATTAATCAAACTACCTTGTTTTATTGATGAGAAAGCTGAGGTCCAGAGAATATAAAGGAAGTGGCAGACCTGGGAGGTAAGCCCAGGTTCCCTACCTCCAAATTTAGTGCCCTTTCCATTGTATTACATTGATATTATTTTCCTTGTTATATATCATTTCATATTTCCTACCATGTCTTTGAATTCTTCAAATCAATCATTTTATTTTCAGTTACATTTATATTTTTTTAATTGTAATATGTTTAGCTATTCCTACTCAACCAACATGTAGCCCCCTCTAGTATTTTTGGTATTATAGTAATCTTCATTCCAATGGCTTCACAGAATCAGAATCTTGGAATAAAAAATAATGTGCTTTTTAAACCTTAAAACTATCCAAATGTATTATTAACAACAACAATAATTTATTCTACCACAATAGGATACTAAAAATGCCTGGGAATCATTTAGACAACATAATGAATTCTCTCAGAGGGAACTCTGAAGATCTCCATTCCTTATTCAAATATATTTTTATTTATTAACAATATTTAATTGTGGAATACATAATATAAAAGTGAGTTAAATAATAACATGCTATCCTCAGAAACTCCATTTTGTTTTATTATTTTCTCCATTGACTTCCCAATGTTTCTCCAAAATAGAGGATCATTTTAATTTCATATCGAATGATTCTTTCTGGAAACGGAAATCTCAGGACAGGCCAAGGATTACTATACATCCCCATCACCATAATTTGTCAATAAATATAAAGTCCAATATTTCCATATTTATTGTGAAATATCACTTTCTCTGTATGTCTGTTGGAGTACAGCAATGTGGTTTGAGTGTTGTTTCCACATTTTCTTTCAGTTCAAAATCATACTTGCAAAGCTGTGGTCTAAGGGAGGGAGAAAAAAAGGAGGGAAAGAAGGAAAAGAATTAGTACACCAGCAAGACTTCACATTTTCCCCATATAAATATGGTAAGTCTATAGTAGCAGTTTGGTAGAAATGATGAATTTGAAGCTCAAAACCTGGGTTTGTGTTGTCGTTCTTATTTCCCCTCTTCAAGTTTCAGTTTCCACCTCTATAAAAGGGGACAAGAATGGTTGTGCTTCCTTCTTCACAGAGTTGTGGTGAATAAAGCATTTTGTAAATCTTAGGGTATGATAGAAATGTATAGAACCAGTTTGGAGGAGGAGTGAACTTCAGTAGAGTGGTAGTGGGAGAAAAGATTAATCATCAACCAATCAGTAGATTATTAAGCACTCACTATGTGTAAAGTTCTATTGTAAGTGCTAAGAATATAAATAGAAAATTAAGATACTTTCAAGGGGCTCACATTCTAATTGGAGAAATAACACATATGGAAGGTTTCAGCTGCAGGTCAAATGAAACAGTCTGATAGTTCTTAGGGTACAATGGCAAAGCAGAAAGTAATGCCACTTGTATGTCATTTCCACAGATAAAATCATATCAGTTTCTGATGTTGATCCATTTGACAGTATGAAGGGCTTTGGTGACTTTATTTTGGGATTCTTTAGTAGCTAAGTCTGCAGGAACAGTCTCAAGACATTAACATATGGGATGCTTCCCAGGATAATGGCTGATGCTACTGGGTTCAAAGCATTGCCATTACCAAGGCTCTTGATTTCAGAGCCCTGAGCTGTCTCCATAATGGTCTGAGAGGAGATGGTAGTTAAGGTGGCAGCAGTGGTTTGACTTTGCTGGCACTGCTCTCTCATGTCTTTCCATTAGGGTACTTTTCAGCATCAGTTTTGCCTGCTATGTGCATAGTAGTTAGCCTCTTCTCCACAGGAGCTACCTCCCTCGATGATGGCTGGGGACTGTACTAGAAACAGAACTGTTGCTCTAGGGGTTGATACTACTTCTAGGACTCCTGCGTATGTTTGCCTATTAGTGGCAATTGCTCAGAAGTTGTTGCTAGTAATGCTAGTGCTAGAAGTTGAGTGAGTCACTTCTCCACAAAATATGTTTTTAATATTTACCTACCTCAGAAAATTCTAAATCTTGAAGCACTATAAAACTTATTAGTATTATATTTACCTGTGCATGAATTAATCCTAAATTATTATTTTATCATTGGTTTTCACGGTTAATTTTGCATCTCCCCAAGATGGTGGAGAAAATGCAGGGACTTATCTGAGCTCTCTCAAATTCCCCTCCAAATAATGCCTCAGAATGAATTCTGGAGTTGCAGAACCCACATAAAGATGGGGTGAAACAATTTTCCAGCCCAATAAAACTTAGAAGCTCAACAGGAAATATGTGTTGTACTGGCATAAGAATGGAGCTCAGTCCAGAGCAGGCAATGCCCAGGCAAGTCAACAGTGGGCTACACCAGGCACAAGCCAGCAGCAAGAAATGGGGGCAACTGAACTGACAGCTTCTAGAGATCTCAGCACGCAGATGGTAAGGGGGTGTGACAACTTGTTAGAAGGAGATTACAGGGGTCCCTTTGCTAGGACTTGGTGCTGGACTCTGTTGTATTGCCTATAGTGGGGTCCAAGTCTCAGTCCTGGATCACAGTCCCTGGGTGAGGAGGAGTACTAACACACCAGAGCTTGTGGGAATGGGAGAGCCGAAACCTTGGTCACAGTTCTAGGGAGGAAAAGAGTGCTCATGGTCACTCAAAGATCAGAGCACAGGCCAGGAAAGTAGTAAAGACAGCTCTCCATAGTTCATACCACCTTGAAAGAAAAGAAAACTTACAGACCCCCTAGAACTACTTCTGAAAACAGCTGCACAAAACACCTAAGCTTGGTACATTGCCCCCTCCGCCCCAGGAGCAGAATCCAAGTTTAATATAAAACTAAAAGTCAAGAAATAGTCTGGAAAGTGAGCAAACAACAAAAAATATCCCAACCATGGAAAGTTACTATATTGACAGGGAAGATCAAAACACAAACTCAAAAGAAAATGACATAATCAAAGCTGTTACATCCAAAGCCTCAAAGAAAAATATGAATTAGTCTCAGGCCCAAAAAGAATTCCTGGAAAAGCTCAAAAAGGAGTTAAAAATTAATTAAGAGAGGTACAGGATAAGTTTTTGGGAAAATGACAGTGATGCAAGAAAATCATGAAAAAGATCCAACAGCTTGGTAAAGGAAGCACAAAAAAATACTGAGGAAAATGATGCCTTCAAAGCTCAGATAGGCCAAATGATAAAAGAAGCACAAAAATCCACTGAAGAGAACTCCATAAGAAGTAGAATTGATCAAATAGAAAAATGAACTTTTTAAAAAGTAGAATTCGCAAAATGGAAAAGGAACTATAAAACATCATTGAAGAAAATAATTCCTTAAAAATTAGAATTAGGCAAGTGGAAGCTAATGACTCCATAAGTCATCAAGAGACAATAAATAAAATCAAAAGAATGAATAAAAAGAATAAAATGTAAAATATCTCATTGGAAAAACAACTGACCTGGAAAATAGATCAAGGAAAGATGATTTAAGAATTGCTGGACTACCTAAAAGCCATGATAACAACAACAACAAAAAGATTAGATGAGACGTTTCAAGAAATAATCAAGGAAAACTGCCCTGATATTGTAGAACTGGAGGGTAAAATAGAAATTGAAAGAATTCACCAATCAATTGAATAAGGTTCTCAAAAATAAAGATCTCAAAATGAAAACTCCCAGGAATATTATAGCCAAATATTATAGCCAAATCCAGAGCTCCCAGGTCAAGGAGAAAATATTTCAAACAAAAAGAAACAATTCAAATATCACAGAGCTACAGTTCAATAACACAAGATTTAGTAGCTTCTACAATAAAAGATTGGAGGGCTTGGAATTTGATAATCTGAAGCTAAAATTGAGCATAATCCATCGGGAGTAGAAATCGATATTCAAGGAAACAGAGGACTTTCAAGCATTCCTGATGAAAAGACCAGAGCTGAATAGAAAATTTGACTTTCAAATACAAGACTCAAGAGAAGCATAAAAAGGTAAATAGGAAAGAGAAATCATGAAGGATTCAATAAGGTTAAGTTGTTTACATTCCAAAATAGGAAGATGATACTTGTAACTACTAAGAACTTTGTCATCATTAAGATAGTCAGAAGGAGTGTGCTTAGAGGGCACTGGTGTAAGATAAATATGATGGGATGATATCTAAAAAAAAATAGTGAGAAGGAGGAATGCACTGGGAAAGGGAGAGATAAATGGCGGTAAATTATTTCACATAAATAGATACAAAAGAGCTTTTGCAGCGTATGGGAAGATTTGATAAAGATCACATTTCTCAAATATATAGACAATTGAGTCAAATTCATAAAAATAAGAGTAATTCCCCAATTGATAAAGGATATGAACAGGCAGTTTTCAGATACAGTAACCAAAGCTATCTGTAGTCATATGAAAGAATGCTCTAAATCACCATTGATTAAAGAAATGCAAATTACATACCATCATGTTGGCTAACACGACATAAAAGAAAAATGACAAGAGTTGAAGCGGATGTGGGAAAAATGATCTGCTAATACACTGTTGTGAACTGATTCAACCATTCGGGAGAGCAAAAATTATGACCAAAGGATTATAAAACCACGTATACCCATTGACCCAGCAATGCCACTACTAGGTTTGTATCTCAAAGAGATAAAAAAAACAAAAAAGAATCTATATGTATGCAAATGTTTATAGCAGCTATTTTAGTGGTGGCAAAGAACTGGGAAGGAGGGGATGCCCACCAGTTGGGGAATGGCTAGGGAATGGTGATATATGATTGTGGAGGAATACTATTGTACTATATGAAACGATGAGCAGGATGCTCCAGAAAAATCTGGAGAGACTTACATAAACTGACTCAAAGTGAGAGGAACAGAATCAGCAGAACATTTTACACAGTAATAGCAATATTATATGATGTTCAACTGTGAATGATTTAGTTATTCTAAGCAATACAATGATCCAAGTCAATCCCAATGGGCTTAAGATGAAAAATACTATCCATCTCCAGAGAAAGAATTGATGGAGTCTGGATGCAGTAAGCATGTTTTTTTTTTAAACTTTCTTTTTCTTGAGGGTTTTTTTTTGGTCTGTTTTCTTTCACAACATGACTAATATGGAAATATGTTTTGTATCACTGCACCTGTATAACCTATATCAAGTTGCTTGCTTTCTCAATAAGGGAGCAGGGAAGGGAGGGACAGAATTTGGAACTCAAAATTAAAAAAAAAACCAAATGTTTAAAATTGTTTTCATGTAATTAGGAAAAATAAAATATGAAACAAATAAAACATTGCATCTCTAATCAAAGTAGCTTTTGAATATTATAAACCAATTTAAAAAACCTGGCAAGTATAAGCATCCTTATAAAATCTTACAGAATTTCACAACTAAATTTTTAAAAGGATTCATTCCTATTGCATTCTAATACATACATCTTGATAGTTTCTTTCCCTCCTCTTCCGTACATCCAATTAATCACTAAGACACACCAATTAAGTTTGTAGGCTGTATATCTAAATTGGGCCTTAGTGGTGGCTAGTCCAACCTCTTAATTTTATACGTAGGGAAACATCAAGTCCAAAGTCATAAGATAATAAAGAACAGATCTGACATTTTAGCTACAAGCTCCAAATCTTCATTCTTTCCATTGTCTCACTACCTGTCAATTCTTCCTTTACAGTATATTTAACATCTGCTCCTTCCTTTCTAAAATTTACTACTGTTCATACTAGGTTCTTGTTACCTGATACCTCTATTATTTCAATAACTTTATAATTGGCTTTCCGGACTGATGTCTCTTCCTATTCCATTTCATCCTGCACTTCCTGTCACAGTGGTGTTTTTATTTTTTAAATACTGTGATAATAATTACCACTATTTCCAAAGTAGTCTTCTTATACCAATATTTTGAACTATGTAATGAAAATATTAACTGTTATTTTCATTGTTATTCAGTTGTTTCAATTGTGTCGGGGGTTTTCTTGGCAAAGATACTAGAGTGGTTTCTCATTTTCTTCTCCAGCTCATTTTACAGATGAGGAAACTGAGGCAACAGGGGGTAAGTGATTTGCCCAGGGTCATACAGCTAGTAAATGTCTGAGGCCAAATTTGAACTCGTGTCTTCCTGACTCCTGGTCTGGTGCTCTATTACTGTACCACCCACAAAATGCCATCTAGGAAAAAATACTGAAAGGAAAAAAAAATATTTTGTACAAGGATTGCATGAATACCTAGAAATAATAAAGCAAGAGATAGCAATTAAATAAAAGCTTTACTTCTGCGTTGCTCACATCTTTCCCTTTCCCTCCATACAGCCTCCAGCATAGTTAAGGCCTTTGACATATCTCACTTAAACTATTGCAATAGCTTTCTAATTGGTTACTGTGCCTTATCTAATCTCACTGTAATCCATTTCCAACATAGCTATCAAAATGATTTAACTAAAATGCAATTCTGACCATGTCACACTCCTTCTTAATAAGTCCAGTGTCTCATTATTTATAGGAACAAACAAAAAATTATTTTGTTCAGCATTTAAGACCCTTCACAACTTGTTCACAACCTACCTTTCCAGAGATATTACATATTACTCTGCTTCACACTCAAAATGTCCTTTTTACTGTTTCTCACACCTGATGCTTCATTTCCAACTACAAGCTTTTGTCTGTTTTCACGGTAGCATATATTTATAGTTGGAAAGTACCTTAGGAGCCACCTATTTCAGCTCCTTCATTTTATATATAAAGACACCAAAGGCCACAGATTTAAGTGACTTGCTCAAGGCCACAGGGTTCATAAGTGTCAACATCAGAATTTGAACATGGTTTGTTTCTTGAAAATTCAAAATCCAGAGCTCTTTCCATTACATGTTAACAAATGAAATCATGTAAAGAAAGCCCTTTGCAAACTTTGAAGTACTATGGAAATTCAGGTAATGGTAGTAGTGTAAGTAATAATATTAGTGGTGGTAATAGTTTTAAGTAAAAATGCCCCGTGCTACTTGATCATGTCATTCTCTTACTTAATTTTTCTTTTCTTTTCCTACTCTTAACTCATCCCCCCCCCCATATTTCTTATGGGAAACCCTTGAAAATCCATATTCCTCAGTCTGGAATTTAATGTTCTTTACAATCTGGCAATGTACTTTCCTGTCTTTTCTCCCACCATGCTGCTGCTTAATCCCACTGTTCCACCAAACTGGTATGATAATTGAATCCTAAAATATTTAATTTTTTCCCTTCTTTTTGTTGTACATATCACTACCTTCTATTAAAAGATCTCTTTTTGTATATATATTGGAATTCTATCCATCATTAAAACCCTGCTCAAGTCCCTTTTTGACTTCCAAATTTTGGTAGGGGGAGATCTACACAACAAGAAATGAGGTGTAACATTGAGGAAATATTTAATATTCAGGCAAAGTCCACTTTTTCTTCAAGTATCTGAATAATTGTTTCTGTGAAGATCAGAATGTGATACAGGAAATTAGCTAGACTCATCTCCTTTTCTAACCACAATTCAAATTCAAAACAGGTAAATTTAAAAAGTGTTCAACACTCAGTCTTCACTGAACTTGAGAAGACCTAGGTCTAGTTCTGAATATACCACTTACTAACTTGGGCAAGCCATTAATCTTTCAGGCACCAGTTTCTTCACCCATAAAATAGAGACAATGAGTCTACATATTTCAGAGTTTTGTGATGTTCAAATGAAAGTGTTTGTAAAATGTTTATTAACTGTAAAAGCACAATTTAAACGTAAGTACTGAAAAAATATACGACTCCATATTGGATTTAAAATTATTTAATTTATGAAACATTGATTTAGATAAAAGTTTCATGGAATGTATCTACCATGTAAAGCAAAGTATATTTGTCCTGGTTTAACATGTAAAGGATGACTTTTCATTTGTTTTCCTTAATGGTGTAGATAATGTATAAGTATAGTCATAATTTAAAGCACTAAGCTTTTCAATTTCTACAAAGTCTTCCCCTGTGACACATATGGCACTCCAATAGAAGGTTTCCATAGCATAACATGCAGAGGATGGGTAAGCTACCAAATCAGATAATTCAGAATGCAAATGTTAGTTTGGGAAATATATGGGAAAATAGTTACATTTTCTTCACTGTTGCCTATCAAAAGCAAAAGATACAGAACAGGAAAATTAATTTGGGAAGTGAATAGCTGGTTGTGCAGCTTGTGTCTAAGAATGGGACTTGAACTTCTGGACCACATATTAAAACATAAAGATGATAGATTTTTTTTTTTTGGCTAGGCAATGGGGTTAAGTGACTTGCCCAGCAGGGTCACACAGCTAGTAAGTGTGAGGTGTCTGAGACCAGATTGAACTCAGGTCCTCCTGAATTCAGGGCTAGTGCTCTATCCACTGAGCCACCTAGCTGCCCTGAGATGACAGATTCTTGGCCAGACATGTAGTATAGTAAACAAATAATTTTTCACCATTTTTTTAAGTGAATGGATTGCTAGGTCCCCCATATTTAAAAATAAATTCTCCAAACAAAAAAACCACAATACACATTATATACTTTACCTTTCTGGATTTGTAAGTGATCTTAATTTGATATGGTGAATCTTGTGTTTGTGTTTAGGATACTTAAGTTTTGAATTCTTTTGAGAATATGTCAAAACGATTTTTGAAATATCTTTAAAGTCATAGTAAAATCCAGCAAGAATACTGACTTCTTCGTAGATAGGATGTGTTGTCATGAAACTAGATAGAAAACAGAACACAGCATCATATTTGGTCTAAAATAAAGCCTTTAACCTAAGTAGAGTGAAACTTTACAGCTTATGTCTGATGATAAAAAGACTGAATTACATAATTTTAACAGAAATGTAGGAAGCAATTTAATACAATGGTTCCTCCTTCCCCCAATCTGATACAATGTCACATTTATTACTAATGACAAAATTTATGTATAGCGTTTAATCATAAAAAATGTTAAGTAAATTAACTTATTGTCACTTGTTATGGAAAAATAATAAATCAAAGGAGGATTTAGGATTGCAGATTTCCATGAAATAAATGATACTCTATTTACCATAGTAATAATATGAATTTTTATTCTATTCTATTGTTTAAAAGAATTCAACTTTCTTAGCATTTGAAATTCTTTCCATTTTAAAAATGTGGACATAACTTAATCCAAATTAATACATAATTCTAAGAGTTGTCAAAATATCATTAAAAGAAGAATTTCATAAAGACAAAATTAGATACTTGAGTTAAAGACAAATAATCTGCTGCCATTCAGAGTACACTAACTTTCTGAAATATACATCTCTGTTGATTGAATTTCACAGTCAAATTGCTATAGCATTTCACTATGTGAATATATCTTTGCCTTATAATTTAAAACAGAAGGTAATATGATGTAATGGGAAAAGTACTACATCATGTACAGTGCTTGTATTTTTAAGCCACATTCCAGTGATAGTTATCTGTGTTCCAGAAGAAAGCCACCAAAATGGAAGACTATCTATTTCTGATGATTTACAGGGCACAAATGACATTCCCAGAAGGAATCTGAGAAGTATTGGCAACCATTGTGAAATCTTGGGCATGAAACTTAAGACCATAGAAGTATACATGTTTTCACCACTGTTGCCTATTGAAGGCAAAATATATTGAAGAGGGAAATTAATTTGGAAAGTGAATAGCTAGTTATGAAAATTGTGTCTAAAAGTGGGATTTGAACTTCTAGATCATATCTTAAAATATAAGGATAACAAATTCCTGGTCAGAGATATAGCAAACAATGGCTAATCAGAATGTATTTATTTGAATAGCATCTTGATAATCTAATCAAAACAGTGTTTTAAAAGAATGAAGGGGGATGGAAAGATTGCCTATGCATATTGTAAAAATTAGATACTATAGCGAGTAGCTACAAACAAGACAGAATAACAATTAAGATACACAGAAGTCTATACGAGCTAAAATCCAGGAGTGGTGCCAGTAGTAAAATCATATCCTCAAGCATCTATACAAAAATTCTGAAAGACTAAGTAGTGAGAAGAACAAGTGGTCCTAGGACAAGGCAGCAAACTTAACCACAAAGCTATCACCAAGATTTGTTGGGGGTGAAATCCATATCAGAAGCATGACTGCATACTTTTTGCCACATTCAAAGGAACAAGGACAGGAAGTAGCATTGTATATTCAGAAGCTTGTATAAGGAAGTCCAGTAACTGAAGAGTGAAGATAGATATAAAGAGCATGACATAGTGCTATAAAAACAATGTCAAGAATGCTCAGATGACCTGAGGCTAGCAAGGAAAGCTAAGGTAAGAAAAAAAAAAGTGGGTCTTTTGTTTCTTTTATTGTGCTATATGGTGAGGAAAAGGAACATCAAAGAAAGGATAGAATTTTCATTTGGGTTGAATTTGGTGATGATAGTGGCAACAAACAGAAGGCAGAGATGCTCAAATATGATTTTATTTCTATTTTCTCTACCAAGGAGAATGACCTGTGCACTATAAATGACAGAACAAAAATGACTAAAAGGAAGGAGATACTCAATATAATCTAGGAGATAGGTAGTAAGAGAGTTTTTAATTTGCCTTGATGAATTCAAATCACCCATCTCAGGTGATTGACATCTTCCAATCCTGAAAGAACTGGCAGATGTATCTGTTGAGCCTCTGTCAATTTTTCAAAATCATGGAAAATGTCAGATATTACAAGACTGAGGAAGGATAAATGCTCACACAATAATCAAAAAAGGGAAGAGAATAGAATCTGTATAGTCCAATGAACTTGATTTCAATTCCTGGGAAAATTCAATGAGGGATCATTAAAGAGATGGTTAGAGAACATCTGGAAATGGTAGATGAGTTAAAGTAGGTTTTATCAATTATAAGTCATTATAGACTAACAATGTTTTCCTGTGTTTTCACAAGATTTCTAAATTAGTAGAGGATGGGAATTCTGTGGATACAATTTACCTAGATTTTAGCAAGAGCAGATAAAGAGTTATGGATTAGGTGATAATACAATTATATAGATACAGAACTTTTCAGATAGGCCCATTCAAAAATAGTTAATAGCTCAATAATAATATGATAAAAGGTTTTTGGTGGATTTTGGTGGATCTCAGGAATCTTTGTTTGACCTCATCCTATTTAACATTTTGGGAAAAGTTAAAGATGGCACATTCACCAAATTTGCAACTGACACAAAGGTAGGAGGGAAAGCAGACACACTGGATGCCAAGGCAAAAGGCAAAAGAATCTTGAGCAATTGTGTCAAACTCCATTAGAGATATATCCCTGCTGGCCTCGCACTGACTTAGAAAACCACAGATTAACATGATCTATGTTGAGTTATAATTTTATTTGTTTTATTAAACATTTCTGAAATATATTTTAATCTGCTTCCAGGCATACAAGAAGTTTTGTAGAAGGAGCTGTGAGTTTGACCCCTCTTGGGATGAATCTAATTAGATAAATTTCAATAGGGAAAAATGTAAAGGTTTATAAAAATGTATATAAAAATAAAAATTGTATTTAAAATAAGCTTTATAAATATTAATTCAGTAAACAATAATTCTGTTGAAAAAGTAATGGGAGTTTTAGTGGCCTGCAAGCTCAGTATGTCAGCATTGTGATCCCAGGCAAACAAACAAACAAACAAACAAACAAAATCAACCAAAACTACTGAGATCTTGGGCTGCAATAAGAGAGGCATAGCTTCAGGTAACAATTTGCTCTACCATGCCTTCATCAGACCTCATTTGGATTATTGTGTTCAGTTCTGGGTGCCACTTTCCTTACATATTGATGAAATGGAGAATGTCCAGAGGATGGCATCACCATAGGGAAAGGGCCTAGAATCTGAGTTTCAGCTTAAAGAAATGAGTATTTTTAGCTTGGAGAAGAGAAGATACAGGTGGAAAAGTATACACCGGCCTCAAAAGCTTAAAGAGCTATTTGGTTGAATAGGAATTAGACTTACCTTTTTTTGGCTGTAGAACAATAACCCTAAAAATCATGGGTGGAACTTGCAAGAGGCAAAGCTAGATTTGATGTAAGAAAAACTTCCTAACAATTAGCACTGTCCAAAAATAGAATGGAGGGTAGGGAGAGGTGACAGCTTCCCTCAAGTAGCAGCCAGATTATCACACATCAAATATATTATAGTGGAAATTCCTTTCTATATGGATTACACTACATAGCCACTGAGGTTCCTTCCAAATCTCAAATTCATGTTTCTGTAACTATATTACTTACCTTTTGATTTTTGATTCTTCCACTTTCCCATATATATCTATTAATTTTATTTTCATATAACCTCCCCTTGTAACATTCTCCAAAATAACAATATCAAGAATATAATGATACACTGAAAAACAAAATATATAGTTTCAAGTTTATGTCAACATTATCAATGGAATGATGGATTTAAATGTTATAAGTTAAATTCATTTAAAACATTTTTAATTTATTTTTTAAACATTATTTTCTTTTTAAATTTTGAGTTCCAAATTCTCTCCTGCCTTTCATTTCCTCCACCACTCACTAAGAAGGCAAGCAATATTATATCAACTATACACGTGAAAGCATGTGAAACATATTTCCATATTAGCCATATTTCAAAAAAGCAAGAAAATGAAGAAAGAGAGAAAATCATATTTCCACTAGCACTCAGACTTCATCAGTTCTCTCTTGGGGAGGGAGAAGTGGATAACATTGTTTCATTAGATCAAAGTACCCAAGTCTTTCACAGTTGATCATCATTACAACATTGCTGTTACTGTGCACAAGGATCTCCCAGTTCTTCTCATTTCATTTTGCATCAGTTTATATAGGTCTTGCCATGGATTTTTCTGAAACCACTCCCTTCTTTCTTTCTTATAGCATAATAGTACTCCACCACAATTACACGTCATTACTTGCTCAACCATTCCCCAACTGATAATCATCCCCTCAATTTTCAATTCTTTGCTACCACAAAAAGCACTGCTATGAATGTTTTTGTACATACATGTCTTTTCCTTTTTTCTTTATTTTCTTTGGGATATAGGCCTAATAGTGGTATCATGGGGTCAAAGGGTATACAGTTTTATAGTCCTTTGGGCATAGTTCCAAATCACTTTTCAGAATGGTTAGATCAGTTCACCACTCCACCAGTATTTCATTAGTGTACCTGTTTTTCTCTTTTCCCCTCCAGCATTTGTCATTTCTGAAGCTGTAAGGTAGTATCTCAGTTATCTTAATTTGCATTTCTCTAATTGCATTTTTATATGACTATAGAAACTTTGATTTCTTCCTCTAAAAACTACCTGTTTATATCCTTTGACTATCAATTGGGGAATGGTTCCTATTTTTGTAAATTTGACACAGTTCTATACTCATTATATGTTTGAGCAATGAGGCCTTAGAGCAACTTGCTGCAAAAAATTTTGATATTACTTCAATGTCTATGGAACCTTTTAGCAAAATGTAGTTTCTCTGATTCTGTCTTTTAATTGGGTCTATTTATGCTTTTTCTTCGTCTGAGATCATGATTGCTACCCCTGCCTTAAGTTAAATTCTTATTATTTTGTTTGTATAAACATACAGTGAGTGGATTGAATAGAACAGACACAGAGGAAGATATCTGGAGTATTGACTTAGATTCTTAGTAAAGCATTTCCTTTTTTTTTTTTTGCACATTTAAAAAACTTTTTTATGCAATTGGGGTTCAGTGACTTGCCCAGGGTCACATGGCTAGTAAGTGTCAAGTGTTTGTTCAGAGGCTGGATTTGAACTCTGTCCACTGTGCCACCTCTTACTAAAGCATTTCATTTCTCATGTTCTATCTTATAGTCTTTTGATCCTAAATAGTGAGAAAACATCTTCACCAATTATGCTACAAATAAAGTACAGAAACAAGTGAGTGTCTAGTTAAAGAGTCTAGCACTAAAGGTGCTGAAGCACTGTGAAATTTCAAGTCAGAAGAGAAAGTAAAATATATGACCTTTAAAATTCTTAAGTTTAGGAGATAGACTCCTGAAAAATGGAAAATACACTATGACTAAATATTGTGATTAAGTCAAGGTTTTAAGGGAGAAATAGCTTCTCTCTGAGTTCACGTGGTAGGTAACTGCTGCTGAAATATTTCTACCACAATACAGAAATTATCAAGTGTAAAAATCTAGGTAAAGCTTATGTACAAAAACAAAGAAATAATTATTTTACATACTGCAGTCTTATACATTCCTCTTTGGCCATAAAAGTTAAAGAAAAGACAAGATTCATAATCCCACACTTGCTTTAATGTCATAAAAGTTGAAGAAACTCAAACAATCATAATCTCATACATAAACCTACTTTAAACAAACTTTATAGATAAACTAAGTCAGATCACAGATTAAACTACATTTAGGGAGTTCACAAATAGGACTGAGGTGGAAAATTTTCATGTCACCAAGATTATTATGAACACTGCTGCCAGAAAAATCCTTTTTGCTAAGGGAGATAACAAATGTTATACAGAAAATATTTAGGTCAAAGAAATTATTTACCTCCTTCAATATCAAATTTGTGAGAGATTTTAACCATGGCTTTCTGAAAATCATCCCAATTTTCACTTTGCTAATAGTGACTTGATCTTATTAACTGTGCAAGAAAAACTGTGAGAAAAAAATCAGAATAATTCGTAGTCTACACTGTCTGTGTTCACATGTAATGTAGTGGCAATCCTTGTAGATAATCACAGAAGAAAGACAAAAGTTCACAAGATGTTGAATTAAGATAGAATGATCTACTTAATTTCATTTCACAACAAATGTTGCACATCCTTCATTTTTGAAGTGGACTAGTGACAGCATGGGATGATGCCTTGACTTGTAGAAGAATTGGATTTAAGTGATGCAGAAGTGAGCAAAATCATCAACCTCACTCTCTCTTCCAGAGTTATTGAAGTCAAGTGGCAGGACAAAAGTCAAGACAATTGGTTTTCAAGCACATGCAATATGACTACTTGTTGAATTTCTTGCAAATATAGATTGAGCCCATCATTAGTCATATGAGCAGCATGGGAATAGTTTTGCCTTTTTTTTCCTCCATGCTATGCCCACTGAGCAAAAATTTATATAGAAAATTATTTTGTATCCTATCTTATACAATCAGGTCCCATCCATTCTGATCTGATTCTTTCCTATTCAATTTAATTTCTCTTGGGATTATAAAATTTCATTTTTCTGAATTTTGATAAAACCTTCATGGTTTAAAATTGCAAATGTTACAGATTTTATTCTTGTTTTGTGAGATTTTCTCATTTGTTATTTATTGTCTAATTCTCATGTTGTCAATTTCTGCATGAAGACTTGAGATATTTGAAAGCATTTATGTTTGGAATTATTTTCTAACTCTTCTTTTCCAGACTGAATAATCCTAGCTCCTTTTACTTTCTCTCATGCTTCTACTTCTACCACCCCTTGTTCATATTATTATAGGTTTTTTCTTTAAATTATGTTTGCCTTTAAGAACTTTTTGTAAGGAGACCACTTCTAATCCAAATTCTAGCACTAATTTGCTTCTGTGACATAAATCAAATCATTATAATTTTTTGGACCTTAGTTTCTTATCTTTGAAATAAACTTAATAGAGGTTATATCTATGCTGATCTGATGAGCCATGAGTCTTGTGGCTTAGGTTGGCTCCATTCTTATATCAAAGAAAAAGAAAAGCTCCAAAAGGGCTGGAACAGAAATCACAGAGAAATGAGCCACCACTTGGATATTTGAAAATGGATTGTTGGAGGAAGAGAGGGAAGAATGATAAAAAAGCTGTGATCTTAATTCTTGATCTGACCTCAACTATGCTATACTTCTCCATTAACAATGAATATATCATGAGTAGTAATTATAATTCTTATATCCAGCCCAAGGAAATGTTAAATGCTTAGAATATAAACATGCCACATTCTTCATCTTAAGGTAGCTCATATTCTTTTGAGGAGATATAAAGAGTACAAAAATAAATACAAAGTAGTTTGGAGAGAAAGCATAATCATTTGGAGGGGAAAGATAAATGAGGAAGAACTTCATGTAGGAAACATTATATCACGTGAATTTAGTGAAGGCTTGGAGGTGAGATGCTGAATTTTATTAACAGCTAGCAAACCAATTTATCTTGAATGTAGAGTGCATGATGAGGAGCAATATGAAATAAGGCTCTAGTGGGAAATACCTTGCTGACAATTTGCGTTTTATCTTAGAGGCAACAGAGAGCCAATGAAGAATTTTGAACAGGAAAATAATATCGTCAGACATGTACTTTAAGATGATTTTAGCACCTAGGTGAATGATGTTTGAGAAATAGTAGAGACTGAAAGTAAGTGACCAATTAGTGATCACAGTAAGTGATGGGGACCTGGATTAAGGTAATGAGCCTTTTTTAGTAGAGAGGAATGGATAGACATGAGAACTATCGTAGAGGAAGAACTGATAAATCTTAACAATTGATTGAATGGGGGGCTAGAAAGGGAGAAAGAAGAGGCAAAGATCATTTCAAGGTTGTAAACTTGGGTGACTGGAAGGATGATAGAGCTCACAAAAAGAAGATGGAAATTTTGATATGGCATAAGCTTCAGTGAAGATGAATTGTTTTAGACATGCTGAGTTTGAGATGTCAATGGGATACGTAAGCGGAGCTGTTAAGCAGGTAACATAGGAATCATTTTCAAGAGAGAGTAGCATAAGACATCTGGCATTGGGAGTTATTTACCTAGAGATAACAATTTAACTTAAGAAATCATATGATAATATTGAGTTGAACAGAATTAAAGAAAGAATAGTCAAGAAAAAGGAGACGACTTACACTTTAGGAGTGGTGGCTGGATAATAACCCAAAAATGTAGAGTAAAAATTAATAGTCAAATAGGAGGGAGGAGAACCAGGAGAGAGAAACGTCACAAAAACCAAGATGGAAAAGATTATCCAGGAAGAGAGGAATGTTCAGCAATATCAAACCCCCCAAATATGAAAACAATAAAAGCCATCACATTTAGAGGTTGGGATTCTTCAAAGCTTGTAGAAAATAGTTTCACTTGAATGGTGAAGTCATAAGCCATAATGTTGAAGAAATGATTGGGAAGTGAGGTGATGAATGAATGGGGTATAGACAACTTTGTGTAGAGGTGGGTGGGATGGGGAGTGGGAAGGTGAGAGGAGAAGATAAGGTAACCCAGATAGGGTAAAAAGATGCTGAGAAGGAAAAAAAATGAGTAAAAATAAAACGGAGAAAAATTCACAAATAGTAATCATAACTTTGAACATGAATGGAATGTTTATAGTAGCTTTCTTTGTGGTGGCAAAGAACTGGAAATTGCAGGCATCCCCATCAATTGGGTAATGT